GCTTAGTTTTTCTAAAACTGGGTAATAACTTTATTGATATAGAAAAATGCAAAGTTTCTGGTGGTTGAAACAAGGGCCTCTTAATGACCTTAAGATAAGGCTTATGTAGGTTTTTAAAAATATTATTTTATTAATAGTTGATTTACAATGTCATGTTAATTTCTGCTGTATAGCAAAGTGATTCAATTATACATATATACACATTTTTCATATTCTCAATTATGGTTTATTACAGGATGTTGAATATAGTTCTCTGTACCATACAGTAGGACTTTGTTGTTTAAGGAGTTTGTGTAGTTTTAAAAACACTTTGGAGTGGAAGTTAAACTGCATGTCTGTAGCTCCAGCAGTGCATATAGCATCATTGAAGTGACCACAGTTAAGCATTTGTGCTGAGCATGCAGAGGCTGACCGCTGTGTCTCGACTGCCCCCTGGTGACAGCAATGAAAAGATGCTATAACCTGTAAAATGCTTCCTGATTTTAGGAGTGTTAAAATGTGAACAAAATGTGTGTTTTAGAATCAGTGCAATATGGTAAATGAGATTGAAGGAAAACATGGCTTTTCCGGCTCTGAGTCTGTGGGGGTGGAGATAATTAATGCAAAAATCTTTAAGAGTAATGTTTAGAAAACTAAGGTGCTGTGACATGCTGTCTTTTTGTGGTCTATGTGAATTCTGTGACCTGAGAATTTATATCAAGGATAGCACTCTTTGTGATTTTTCCTAATAAAACCTGAATTCACTAGATGCTCTGTGTAGCATAAGGGAGTTAGAGAAGGCGAGGTTCAGGAAAAGAATGAGACCGGCACTTTACAGGAACAGGTCACCTTTGATGAGGTGAGAAGGGACAGCGGTCAGATTAGTGAGCTGCTGCACTTATCTAAGAAAAGAGTGAGTATATATAGGCATGTATGTGGAAAGCTACTGTCTTAAGGGGGCCTGTTCTTCTCCAAGGTTGTTCGGAGTAGTTATCTCTTAAACGGCTGGGGCTAGGAATTTTGGAGATCCGCCAGAGGCTGGACCCGCTGGGAGCTGGGCATAATCAACCTTAATGTCCATTTTTTTCTTCGGGTGAGAGAGTTCTTTGTTTTGCATAGAATGGTGGGGAGGACCCGGAGGGGAGTTTAACTCCAGGCTATTTTGAGCCATGTAACTTTCCTTCACTCTGAATAGCAAAGTCAAAGTTTAGGCAGAATTAAGAATAATATTGGTCTAAGTACTTAAAAACAAACAAACCACAAATCTATTTTCTTACCTCTTTTTCATTTCACCCTCCCTTGCTGCCTTTTTCCTGTTAGCCACTGAGTGGACACTTATGCCCCTCAGCTCCCCAAAGACCTTCACCCAAGCCTGTTCTTCTTTGTAATGCCTTAGGTTCACTTTTGTTTAATATTTATTTTTAAACAGCTTTATTAAGGTATAATTGGCATGCGATAAGCTGTATTATGTAAAGTGTACAGTTTGATGAGTTTTGACATATGTATATACCCATGGAACTGTCTCTGCCATCAAGGTGATGATGAAAATGTCACTCTCAGAAGTTTCCTGCCCTTTGTCACCCTTCTGCTCCCCCCTCTCTCCTACCCCAACACATACCTCCGTTAGGAACTCTGAATTCCCTGGGGCTGGGCCCTGTGACTTAATTCACACTACCTTGTAAGTCTTTCTCTTCCAGAATTATTTTCTTTTTATTTATTTTCATTTATTTTTATTAGTTGGAGGCTAATTACTTTACAATATTGTAGTGGGTTTTGTCATACATTGACATGAATCAGCCATGGATTTACATGTGTTCCCCATCCTGACCCTCCCCATCCCATCCCTCTGGGTCATCCCAGTGCACCAGGCCCAAGCACTTGTCTCATGCGTCCAGCCTGGGCTGGTGATCTGTTTCACTATAGATAATAATGCATGTTTCGATGCTGTTCTCTTGAAACATCCCACCCTCGCCTTCTTCCACAGAGTCCAAAAGTCTGTTCTGTACATCTGTGTCTCTTTTTCTGTTTTGCATATAGGGTTATCATTACCATCTTTCTAAATTCCATATATATGTGTTAGTATGCTGTAATGTTCTTTATCTTTCTGGCTACGTCACTCTGTATAATGGGCTCCAGTTTCATCCATCTCATTAGAACTGATTCAAATGAATTCTTTTTAATGGCTGAGTAATATTCCATGGTGTATATGCACCACAGCTTCCTTATCCATTCGTCTGCTGATGGGCATCTAGGTTGCTTCCATGTCCTGGCTATGATAAACAGTGCTGCGATGAACATTGGGGTGCACATGTCTCTTTCAGATCTGGTTTCCTCAGTGTGTGTGCATCAATGAATATAGTAAAGTTGCAGGATATAAAATTAACACACAGAAATCCCTTGCATTCCTATACACTAACAATGAGAAAACAGAAAGAGAAATTTAGGAAACAATACCATTCACCATTGCAACAAAAATAATAAAATATTTAGGAGTATATCTACCTGAAGAAACAAAAGACCTATACATAGAAAACTATAAAACACTGATGAAAGAAATCAAAGAGGACACAAACAGATGGAGAAACATACCATGTTCATGGATTGGAAAAATCAATATTGTCAAAATGGCTATTCTACCCAAAGCAATCTATAGATTCAATGCAATCCCTATTACGCTACCAATGGTATTTTTCACAGAACTAGAACAAATAATTTCTCAATTTGTATGGAAATACAAAAAACCTTGAATAGCCAAAGTAATCTTGAGAAAGAAGAATGGAACTGGAGGAGTTATTTTCTTTTTAAAAGATTAGGTGTATGATATGTTCTTCTTGGTTACCTTAAGGCAGGCTTAGTCTTAAAAATGTGCCCTCTACCTCTTCAGAAAAAAATAAAACATCCCCTTAGATACAGGAGAGTCTTGATTTGATAAAAATTAAAAAAAAATTAAAAAATAAGTAAAAATTTTAAAAATTAAAAAATTAAATTAAAAAATTAAAAAAAAATGAAAATAAGGTTGTGCTACTTGGACATATTATTTTTAAAAATAATATGTCAATTTATTAAAAAATGGAGCATACTTAACAACAAACTATCTTATATCTTTAAGGAAGAAAAAACACTAAATTTGAAAAGACATCACCCACTGAATTTGGACACAACACCTCTACTCAATTAAGAGAAACATTTGTACAGTCCAGGTCTTTATTTTTACACCCTTTAGGCCATGAATTCATAGGGAATGGGTTCCAACAGTTCAGGTTCCTTTCCATTGGTCCTCACAAGGTGTGCTTCTCTGGGTGGAGCAGGCTGGCGCTTCAGCTGAACCCAAGTCCCTTTCTCTTTGGCTTCCTTCTTTTTCTGATCATTTTCCTTCACACGTTTTAGGAAGCTATCTCGGCTCTTAGAGTGCTTAATGTGCCCGATACCCGCATTAATTCTCTTGGCAAGTATCTTGCCCTTAACTTGTTTGTTTACAATGATGCCAACAGCATGCTGGGTAACATTGTAGACTCTCCCAGTTTTGCCGTGGTAACATTTGTGGGGCATTCCTTTCTGAACAGTACCCATTCCCTTGATATCTACAATATCACCCTTCTTGTAGATTCGCATGTATGTGGCCAAAGGAACAACTCGATGTTTTCTAAAAGGCCTAGAGAACATGTAGCGGGTGCCCCTCCTCTTTCCCTTTGTGTTGGCCATTTTGGTGAATTACTGGAAGATGGCGGTTCTGGCCGAAAAAGCTACTTGGAGGGTTTGAAATCTGTATGAATGTATTTTCTCACCTAAAAAACCAAATCATTTTTAAAAATAGCTGAACATTTCAGTGGACAAGGAGTTTATTAAGATGAAACTCTTAGGCAGCATCTTTTCCCTTAGGAAGGTAAAGATGTTAAGGTGCAATACGATGGTCTGTTCTGATCGATTGCTGTGATTGGCTGAGGGTAGGATGCGGCTATTCCCCAGGTACTGAGCCTGGCAGGTGTCAGGCTGGGTGAGGCTCGCTGCACCCCTCACCTCAAGCAGCCTCATCGGGTTGGTTACCCCAGAGAACTCTTCAGTCATTGTAATTTCCTGTTGTCTGGGGCAAAGTCAGGAAACACTGAAGACAATCTCTGAGTCAGGATAGTAACAAGAGGGGGCTTTTTTTTCTTTTTGGCCCCACTACTGTGGCATGTACAGTCTTAGTTCCCCCAACCAGGAATCCAACTTATGCCCCCTGCAGTGGAAGCACAAAGTCTTAACCACGGACCTCAGGCAAGTCCCCAAAGGGGATGTTTTAATTATTATATAATGTGTTCAGCTCTCTCCTGTTTGAGGGCCTTAAAAGTTATGGGTCACTAGTGGCACCTTGGTTTCCCAGGTGGCGCTAGTGGTAAAGCACCCGCCTGCCGATTCAGGAGACACGAGAGACTCAGTTTCGATCCCTGGATCAGGAAGATCCCGTGGAGGAGGAAATGGCAACCCACTCCAGTGTTCTTGCCTGGAGAATCCCATGGAACTAGGAGCCTGGCGGGCCATAGTCCATGGCGTCGCAAAGAGTCGGACGTGACTAAAGCGACTTAGCACGCACATAGAGTGGCATCTTTAGCTGAGATTTGTTGTGTATATTATGGAAGTCAGAAAATGCTTTTTACCTGGGACAGATGATGTTAGAAACATTTCAAATTTCATAGAGCATATAGTACAGTGCTAGATATTTGTAATAGGTGTAATAAGTGTGGTGGAGATGAGACAATATTTTCAGTATGTGAGATGCAGAGAAACATATTGCATTATTTCCTTAAGTAATTACTGCTGAATTTAGAAAATGTATAATATACTATGGGCTTGAGAATGGGTTGATTTTTTTTTTAATTCCAGTTTGAATGATCTGAAAAATTACCTGTTTTTCATAGGATATGTTAATTTTTTTTTTTAAAGTACTGTATTTTGGACTAAGTATTATATGTTTTTCTGGTATTCAGTTGAATGGAGACCTTATATTGAATTCGTCTCATCTATCATGTTTTTTATCACAGGAGGTGATGAGAAAGCCAGAGCACGCCACATATCAAGAGGAAAACTGTTACCCAGAGAAAGAGTTGACAATCTTATAGACCCAGGGTTGGTACATACCCAGACGTTGGCTCAGGGTATCCTCTGTTCCATGGTGCTTTCTTAGTGTGTTTTTTTTTCTTTTTTGGCTGTGCTGTGCAGCTCCCAGGATCTTGGTTCCCCAACCAGGGATGGAACCCAGGCCCTTGGCAGTGAGGTGCAGAATCCTAGCCATTGGACCACCAGGAAATTCCCATCTTAGAAAGCTTTGTGAAATAAATGGTTTTAAATTCTGGTTCTTACCTAAGCTTCAGCAACAAGTGGTTGTTGTGAGGCTGCGATATGTCAGGTGCTTTTCTGGGTGCTAGCGAGGCCATCACTGAACAAAGCAGACCAAGTTCCTTGCCCTGCTGGGGCTTACATGGGAGCAGGAGGAGACAGAAAATACTTGGTAAATGTCACAAATTACATAGTATGTTGGAAGGTGATACGTGTCATGGGACAAAAAAAGAAAAGGTAGACCACCATTACAAGAGAGAAAGATGAAGATCAACTTGCAGTTTCAAATGAGGTGGTTAGGATCAGCCTCGCTGAGGGGTGACATTTGAACAAAGACTGGAAGGAGTGGAGAGAGATGGGCTGTATGTATCTGGGGAGAGAGGGTTACAGGCAGACGGAGCGGCCAGTGCGAGGCTTCTGTGCCGAGAGCTGGGAGTGGGTCACAGATGCTGATATGCCGAAGGGCCCGGGAGGCTGTCTCATGGGAGCGGAGGTTCAGTGAAGTGGGGAGTAGCAGAAGATGGGGTCAAATTCATAACGCGTTTGTGGGTCAGGGTAAGAGTTTGGACTTTTACTCTGAAAGAAACGAGGAGACTTGGTAGGACTTACCTGACTTATGTTTTAAAAAGTTATTCTGGCCACGGGTGTGAGTAGCCTATGTGGCTTGAGGGTGGAAGGACCAGGACCAGTTAGAGAAATGAAGATTCAGAAGTATCGTTTCTGCGGACACGCACACACGTGCCCAGCCTGGAGACAAACACCGTTAACACCTAGTGTGCATTAACACACTAGTGTATATACCGTTAACACGTACACTATTTTCATGCAAACGTGGGTCAGACACACTTTTTTTTTGTTTGTTTTAGAAAAATGGAATCTTGTGTTTTATAACTCCCTTCTCCCCCTCCCCCACCACCCTTAATGTATCTTGAACATTTAAGTGAGAGGATAAAAACAGTGGTTAGGAGCTTGGCCCCTTATTAAAGAGCTTATTAAACTCAGCTCTGCCACGTTCTAGTAGTTGAGTGACCTCAGACAACTGACCTCATTGCTGTGTTTCAGTTTCCTCAAAGTCAGTGGGGATCCTAGTGGGATCCATAGCAGAAGGTAGTTCTGAGGACTGAATGAGTGAGTGTTTCTGAAGCTCCTAGGAGAGAGGCTGGCACTTGGTTAAGTGCTACGTAAGTGTTAGGTGCTGCTCTCTTTCTATACCAATACATACATCTGTACAGTATCTTCAAAGATAAATGTGTTCCTTTGTGTGGCTGTGTTGTATCAATCCCCAAAGTGTTCACACTATACTTTGTTTTAGACATTCTTCCTTTTATAGGCTTTATATCCAACACATATATTTGAAATGTTGCCCCATTAAAGAAAAAAAATCGTTTCCTTTTCCATGTGTAACTATTAAAATATGATTTTAAAAAAAGAAAACATTAATTAAGGCAGCATTCTTTCTTCTGTTCAGGTCTCCATTCCTGGAATTATCACAGTTTGCAGGTTACCAGTTGTATGGTGATGAGGAGGTCCCTGCAGGTGGCATTATTACAGGCATTGGGAGAGTGTCAGGGTGAGTATTCTGACCGTGCTCAGCCCCATGGGTCAGGAAGCAGGCCGACAGGGCAGGGCAGCCAGCTCTCACCGCTTTGCACGAGAGTATGTGAGTGTCATGCTAGTGATATTATTTAGATCTGAGGCTTCCTACCCAGATATGTTAGATTCATCTGTGGAGCTTCAGGGATGGAAATTGAAGGGAAAAACCCCAAGCAGTGATCCTGGGGACCCAACCCAAACCTTCATACTTAATCAGAATCTCCAGGGTTTGGACTTGGCGTGGGTAGTTTTCCAAGGCTCTGCAGGTGATCTCTTGCACATCTAGAGCAAAAAACCGCCGTCTTAGAAGAGTAGTTCTCAGAGTGTGGTCCCCAGGGGACATCAGCCTCACATGAGAACTTGTTAGAAGTAATGGTCAGGTCTTCCCAAAAAGTACTAAGTCATATTCAGGGAGTGGAGCCCCGAAATCAGCATTTAAACAAGCTCTCCGGATTCTCCAGTGTTATCCTTTGAGAACCACCATAGACTTAGGGCATCTTGATCGCTGGATACTACATTTGTTTGCGTGTATTTTTGTATGATCTCACACTGACCACGCAGTTACCGTTCCTTGTACTGCAATAAACACTTCCCACTCCCTAGTTGTCTTAATCTTTACCACAATCCTGTGAGAAGGGGTGCTGTTATAACCATCACCATTCTGCAGGTAAGGAAACTGCCTTAGAGTGTTAAAATAACTTGCCAAAGATCAAGCCACTGGCAAAACTTGACTTTGAGATCAGGCAGCCTGATACAATTGCTCTTGACTTGGATTCTGGTTTACGTGTGTGTGTTCCTCCACCTTCACCCCTTGATTCGTGCCTTCACAGGAGGTGTGACTATAGTCGTTCACCATTGTTGCTTCTTTCTTTCTTCCTTCTTTAATTCCTAAACCTCACGCCCCAGTGATAAATCAAAGAGATAGAGGGGTAGGGACCAGAACACAGCCTTGCTTCATTCCACTGAAGATTTTAAACTTTGTAATCAGTGCTCTTATCAGACACTCATTCTCTGAGGCTCTCTATGAACATCAGTAGCCAGGGCTCAATATTGAGTGTATGTACTTTAGCTCACAAGATTCCATGGAGGCAGGGGCCAAGACCAGACAGATTTTATCTTTTCCCTGAAGCTGCTCTGGTGTTGGATAATATGACTGGAAAATAATTCACTTATTCAAAACATCTAAAGTAATACTTCACTATAATTAAAGTGACCTTTCTTACATAATCATATGGTTGAATATGGTTAGCACCCTTTCTTTAGCAGATGATAGATGTTTAAACTAGTTTAAACAAAAAAAGATTTGTTGACTCTTAACTGATTTTGGGCCAAGCCAGATCTAGGAGCTCAAACAGCATCACCAGGCCACCAGGCTGGTTTTTGGATTTGTTCCTAGGCAGTCTGTTTAAGCCTTGAGGCAGAGCGGACTGTGGACTTCCCCAGCTTCTGCGCTATAAGCTTAGCAGCTGCAGTAAGAGACGACCTCCTGAGGGCACAGGCCTAGGACCAGGGCCCGTTGCTGAGCCCACCAGACGGACACTGAGTAGAAAGGCCTGGTCCTTGTGCTCACCTCTGAAGGTGGATGGACTTTGGGGTCAGTCCTGCTAGAACCACATGGATTAAAAATAGAGAAGAGGCAGTTTCTGAAAGAAAGTTTAATTTTGTTGCCAATATAATAGATATTTTTGCTGGATAGGCAAAATCAATAGGTGTCTAATGCAATGTGTGTGTTTTCGTTGTAGCCGTGCCTTGCGGCATGAGGGATCTTACTTCCCCAGCCGGGATCGAATCCATGCCCCATGCAGTGGAGGCACGGCTTTGTAACCACTGGACCACCAGAGAAGTCTCTAATACAATATTTTGTGGACTTATTTTACTTCTCGTTCTGTAATGTGCCTGGTTTTTGTCTTGTTTTTTTGGGGGGGCGTGGCCCTAGGTCTCATTGCTGCACGTGCTCTTTCTCTAGTTGCAGTGAGCGGGGGTGATTTTTCCAGGTGTGATGCACAGGTTTCTTATTGTGATGGGCTCTCACAATAAGACTGTGTTGCTGAACACAGTCTCTAGGATGTGCAGGCTTTAGTCATTGTGGCACTAGGGCTCAGCAGTTGTGCTTCGCGTGCCCCAGAGCACGGGTCAGTAGTTGTGGCACACGAATTTAGTTATCCTGAGGCATGTGGAATCCTCCCGGGCCAGGGATCGAACCAACGTCCCCTGCATTGGAAGATGGTTTTTAAACCACTGGACCACAAGGGAAGTCCTATGATGTTTCCATAAGACTAGTAAAAGTTACTAGTAATGTCCCATGTCCAAGGTTGATAGAGGCAAGTGACAAGAGTCAGAATTTCAGCCTCCCTTTGCCTGACTTCATAGCCTGGGCTCTTTGCTGCACCAGAACTTCTTAAGTTTTTCTAATGCAGCGCCCCCAGGAAAGGGAAGAGTGACCACACACTGGAGGTGTGAGGCCCAGTGACCTGCCAAGAGCCTCAATTCCTTTTGAAGTGATTTGTTTAATATTAAAGTCATGAAAAATGTACTTCCCACTCTGTAAAATGTTAATTATAATGTGGGAAAATGCTTGCTATAACCTAGTGAATAAAACTGATGCTCAGAGGAGAGAAACCACATACCCTAATAAAAGAAATTTAACATTACCTAAGGTCGTGGGCTCAGTTGCTGTTCTCTAGTTCATGTTCAACAAGAGCTAAGTAAGTTATTTTTTAGAATTCTAGAGAATATAAAGTGAGGTAAGAAAACATCATAAATATAAAGAAGATTAAATTTTGTGAAGACCACACTGTTCTCTCGTTTCAAGTGAGCCTCCAATCTTCAGTTTTCCTGGCAGCACTCAGCAGGCTCTCTGCTGGCCTCTTCATTCACTTTCCTGCTTCTTGCCAGTTGCTTGTGGGCCGTGGTACCTGACAAACTGGTTTTGGTGACTCATTATAGTATGTGCTTTCAAAAATACTATTTTAAAATTTGTACCTATTGTTACTTTAGGCAGGATAAATGTTGTATTTTTAACTTCTTTTACTTTTATAGAAAAGCATATGGCAGTAACATGAAGAACTTTTGAAAATATGAAACATAAATACTTTTGATGGCTCAGTTTTCCTTTTTGAAAATTACCTTCCTAAAAGGAAATTCTGAAGTTTATCATGAGGGATTTTCTCATCTCGAGACTTGGATTTGTTGTTGTTTGTTGTCTTATAACGTTAGGACTGTTTCATTCAGAGAACATTGCAAAATGTGGCTTAGGTTGTTAGTTTTTCTCTGCTAATGTGGGGTGATGATTCTTTAAAAAAATTAGATATGAGTTTGTAAACTAATTAAAAGTGGTTCATTTTATATAAATGAATATGTGAACAGTGACTAAAGTTCCTATACCATAAGATTGGCTACTAATGGCTATCATTAGTGATATGTGTTAATACTGGAAACTGCCAGGTTGTATTGGGAGTGTCTTATAACGAGATGCAGCTGGTCTTTTACTTTTAAAAAATCTCTCATATTCTCCCTCCATTGAAATTTCTGCCTTTCAGAATAGAATGCATGATTGTTGCCAACGATGCCACAGTCAAGGGCGGTACCTACTACCCGGTAACTGTGAAGAAACACTTGAGAGCACAAGAGATTGCGGCGCAGAACAGGCTTCCCTGCGTCTACTTGGGCAAGTCGTGAGAGCTGTGAAGCAGACAGCGCCTCAGCTAGAGGAGCAGAGGGCTGCTTAGAAGGATGTGTGTGTGCATGTGTATGACGTTATCAGTGGGCATTTCAAGAACAGCTATTGGTTTCTCTCATAATTTCAAAAGAAATACTTATTCTTTGTTAAAACCCCTGGGAGAAAAAGTAAATAGAACTACCCATTATAACATCACTGAGGAGGAATCCCTGACACTATTTTGGGGTGTGCTGTTTTTTCCTCTACATGAGTGGTATTTTTTTTCTTCTATATATTTTTGTTTTTCTATTTATCATAATGGATTCAAACTATGAAAAAATAATAGCTAATATTTATGAGTCTCTTGAGTGTCAGGTACTAGGTTAAATGCTCGAGTATGTACATAATTTGGGCAAACGTAATTTAAAGAAATTTAATTTTCAGTGCAAGTAAATTTATATTTGGAATTAAAATACATTAATAATTTAAGCTAAGGATATTTTTAAAAGAACATAAAAGCAAAGCAGTTTAAAATTGGCACTTCCTGGATATTAGCTTAGTTTGTAAAAACACCAGTATCTGTTGTTCATTTCTGTGAATATTTGAACAGGTACAGATGAGATTTCTTTTTCCTATGAAAGTGAATTTACCTGATTGACTTAGAGTGTGAACTGCTTTGCACATATAGAAAACAACAAATGGGACCCCACAGCTTGCAACTATTGTTCCCAACACTGTAGGGAACACAGTTAAGGGTGTTGTGTTGTCTGTCTTCCTCATAGTGAATTGGAGACAGGATATAATGTATTAAACATCAATAGAAAACTCATACTGATAGGTATAAGACTAGCTAGCTTTCTGTAATGTTGACTCCGTACACTCACAGTATGTGCTAAACTAAATGCTTTGCATATACTATTTCATGTCATCCTGATAACCACCCTATGGTACACTGCTGGTACCTTCATTTCACAGGTGGGGAAACTGAGGCATAGAATGGCTCAGAAATACTTCCGTGGTCACACAGCTGTGAAGTAATGAAATTCTGTTTTGAACTCAGCTGACATTCTTATCCGCCACTGTTATCTACAGTAAAAAGAGAAACAGAAGGCGACATGTGATAAAACTATCCCATGAATTTGGTAGATGATGTTTGGATTGTTTTAAAAGAGAGAGAGAGAGATCCATTTTCAGCTGAACTAGTTAAGGATTTTTTTGCGATTTCTGGGGCTAATCCTCAAAGCAGAGAATGTCCTAAATATTTCAAGTGGAATTTTGCATAGGGGTAGGAGAGCCTAATATGTTTCAAGAAAGCAATACAATTTAGGGGGCTCTGGGAGGATTGGAGAAAGAGGCTGCAGAAGAGTTTAGAAAGATAGAGCAAATTTTTTTGTGAATGTAATTAAGAACTGGTGCTATTATCATTGAGACAAGTCTTCCTGTGTATAGGATGTTTTGTTCATTGACATGTACTTATATCTGTTATTTCCCCTGTCTTCAGTTGACTCAGGAGGGGCAAATTTACCTCGACAAGCAGAGGTATTTCCAGATCGAGATCACTTTGGCCGAATATTCTACAATCAGGCAGTTATGTCTTCTAAAGGCATTACACAGGTAATTTCTTATTAATGAGATATGTTGCTTTTTGCATCAAATATCTTTGTTAACCAGGTATTTTGAGATGACTTAAAAGAGAATTTTACTTTTTTTTGGCTATGCCATGCAGCTTATGGGGTCTTAGTTCCCTGACTGGGGATTGAACCCAGGCCCTTGGCAGTGAGAACATGGAATCCAAACCACTGGAATGCCAGGGAAGTTCCAAAAGAGAATTTAATACACAATTTAGTCTTCAAGAAATCAACTGATAACCTTATGAGATTTCCCTTGTATGTTGTCTGTCTTTTTTCCCTTGTTGCTTTTAATATTTTATCTTTGTCTTTAGTTTTTGTCCATTTATTACTATGTCTTGGTGTGTTTCTCCTTCGGCTTATCCTTCTTGGGACTCTGTGCTTCTTGGACTTGGTTGACTATTTCCTTTTCCATGTTGGGGAAGTTTTCAGCTATTATCTCTTCGAATATTTTCTCAGGTTCTTTTGCTTTCTCTTCTTCTGGGACCCCTATGATACAAATATTGGTGCATTCAATGTTGTCCCAGAGGTCTCTTAGGTTGTCTTCATTTATTTTCATTCTTTTTTCTATATTCTGTTTTGCAGCATTGATTTCTACCATTCTGTCTTCAGGTCACTTATCCATTCTTCTGTCTCAGTTATTCTGCTATTGATTCCTTCTAGTATGTTGTTCATCTCTGTTCTTTAGTTCTTCTAGGTCTTTGGAAACATTTCTTGCATCTTCTCCATTTTTGTTTCAAGATCCTGTATCATCTTCAGTATCATTATTCTGAATTCTTTTTCTGGGAGGTTGCCTATCTCTACTTTGTTTAGTTGTTTTTCTGGGGATTTATCTTGTTCCTTCATCTGGGACATAATCCCATTTCTTTTCATTTTGGTTAGCTTCTGTGGTTGTGGTATTCATTCTGAGGCTGCTAGGATTGCAGTTCTTATTTCTTCCGTCTGCCCTCTGTGGATGAGGCTAAGAGGCTTATACAAGCTTCCTGATGGGAGGGACTGGCTATGAGCAAAACTGTCTCTCTTTCTCTGGTGGGCAGGGCCATGCTCAGTAAAACTTTAATACAATTGTCTGCTGGTGGGTGGGGCTGTGCTCCGTCCCCGTTAGTTGTTTGGCTTGAGACTGACCAAGTCCTAGAGTTTAGAGGCTCTGTGCTGTGTGTGCTAAGTCACTTTAGTCATATCCGACTCTTTGCAAGCCTATGGACTGTAGCCTGCCAGGCTCCTCTGTCCGTGAGATTCTCCAGGTAAGAGTGCTCGAGTGGGTTGCCATTTCCTCCTCCAGGAGATCTTCCACCCAGGGATCAAAACGGTGTCTCTTTTATCTCCTGCATAGACAGGTAGGCTTTTACCACTAGCACCACCTGGGAAGCCCCTGAGGCTCTGTGATAGGGCTGTTGGCATCCTCCAAGAGAACTGATGCTGAGACCCGTCTCCCAGGACTGCTGCTACCAGTGCCCTTCTCCCCGTAGCAGGCCACTGCCCACCCACGCGTCTGTAGGAGACCCTCAGACACTCACAGTAGGTCTGACTCAGTCTCCTGTAGGGGCAGTGTTCCTTTCCCCTGGTCCTGGTGCACACATCATTTTGTTTCTGTTTCCCCCAGTCCTGTGGAGGTCCTGTAATCAAGTCCCACTGGCCTTCAAAGTCAGATTCCCTGGTGATTCCCAGTCCCTTGGCAAGATCCCCAGGCTGGAGAGCCTGATGTGGGGTGTAGAACCTTCACAACTGTGCAGCAACTTCTTTGGTATTATTGTTCTCCAGTTTGTGGGTCACCCACCCAGCAAGTATAGCATTTGATTTTATGGTGATTGTGCCCTTCCTACCATTTCATTGCAGCTTCTCCTTTGTCCTTGGATGTGGGATATCTTTTTTTGGTGGGTTCCAATGTCTTCTTGCTGATGGTTATTCAGCAGCTAGTTGTGATTTCGTTGCACTGACAGGAGAAGATGAGCACATGTCCTTGCGCTCTGCCGTCTTGAACCGATCTCAAGTACATGGTAATTTCAAACTGGGATAAGTTCTATAAAGAAAAACATAACTGGATAAAGAGACAAAGGATAATCAATGCACAATTGACTAATTGTGTATTCTCTTTCCACAGAAAGCCTAGTCAGATTCATCTACTAAATATGGGAATATTGTTATGGTGTAGTAAAGGTTAGTTCCAAAGGAAACGAGTAAAAAGGAAGGACACTGAGTCATTGCTTTTTTAGGATGATACTCTGGAAAAATTCTAGTATATGTATGAGGAGCCATGCGTAAGAATGTTACTTGTAGCATTATTTTTTATAATAAAAGTTAAAGAACACAGTAAATGACCATTCATGGGAGAGTTATAATATTCAGCTGTTAAAATGAATGAACTATGGATTAAAGACCTAAATGCAAGGCCAGAAACTGAAAACTCTTAGAGGAAAGCATAGGCAGAAGAACACTCTGACATAAATCACATCAAGACCCTCTATGACCCACTTCCCAAAGTAATGGAAATAAAAACAAAAATAAACAAGTGGGAACTAATTAAACTTAAAAGCTTTTGCACAGTGAAAGAAACTATAAAAAAAAGTGAAAATACAGCCTGCAGAATGGGAGAAAATAATAGCAAATGAAACAACTGACAAAGCATTAATTTCTAAAATATATGAACAGCTCATACAACTCAATAGCAGAAAAACAAACAACCCAATCGAAAAGTGGACAGAAGACCTAAACAGATATTTCTCCAAAGAAGACATACAGATGGCTAATAAACACAGGAAGAGATACTCGGTATCACTCATTATTAAAGAAATGCAAATCAAAACTACAATAAGAGATCACCTCACACTGCTTAGAATGGCCACCATCAACATATCTACAGACAATAAATGCTGGAGAAGGTGTGGAGAAAAGGGAACCCTCTTGCACTGTTGGTGGGAATGCAAATTAATATAGCTGCTATGGTGAATAGTATAGAGATTTCTTAAAAAAAAAAAAAAAAACAACAGGAATAAAACTACCAGCCATCCCACTACTGGGCATATATACCCTGAGAAAACCATAATTGAAAAAGGCATATGTACTCCAGTGTTCATTGCAGCACTATTTACAATAGCTAGAAAATGGAAGCAACCTAGATGCCCATCGACAGATGAATATATAAAGAAGTTGTGGTGCATATATACAGTGAAATATTACTCTGCCATAAAAAGGAATGCATTTGAGTCAGTTTTAATGAGGTGGATGAACCTAGAACCTATTATACAGAGTGAAGTAAGTCAGAAAGAGAAAGACAAATATCATATATTAACATATATATATATGGATTCTAGAAAGGTGGTACTGATGAACCTATCAGCAAGACAGTGATGGAGATGCAGATATAGAGAACATACTTGTGGACACAGTGGGGAAAGGAGAGGGTGGGACAAATTGAGAGAGTAGCATTGAAACATATACATGACCATGTATAAAATCAGATAGCCACTGAAAATTTGTTGTATGATGTAGGGAGCTGAAATCTAGTGCTCTGTGACAACCTAGAGGGGTGGGATGGGGTGGGAGGTTCAAAAAGGAAAGAACATATGTATACCTATGCCTGATTCATGTTGATGTATTGCAGAAACCATCACAATATTGTAAAGCAAGTATCCTCCAATTAAAAATAAATAAATAAAAAATAAAATGAACAAACTAGAATTGTATGTGTCAACAGAAATAAGTCTCAAAGAATATGTTGGGTTAAAAAAAAGTAAATGTATAACCAGTTGCTCTGTATGCAAATGTTAAATATATCAAATAATCTATTATTTGTGTCTAAACAGGTACATGGGAAAGAAACCCTCACCTTTAGAACAGTGGTTACTTTTGAGGTGGGAGGGAGGAGAAAAAGGCTAGTAGGAGGTCTGTAGAGCCTTCAACTGTATCTGAAATATTTTATTCTTTTAAAAAAATTCAGAAGTAAATTTAGCCAAATGTCAAGATTTATTGAGACTGGGTATGAGGTAAAGAATATTTACTTTATTCTAATCTTTTTTGTATGTTTGAAATATTTAATAATACTGCTGCCATTCCTTTAGGTCTTTTTTTGTTGTTGTTATTGAATTTCTTAAGTTTTTAGTATTTTTATTAATACTCTAATTAATTAGTCATCACCTGCAATTATTATATCTCTTCTTTATATTCTACCAATGTAATGTATTGTTATTTTTATTCTGTATTTTACTGTTACTGTTATGTGAGCTTCCCAGGTGGCGCTGGTGGTAAAGAACCCTCCTGCCAATGCAGGAGACCTAGAGATGCAAGTTCAATCCCTCGGGTCGGGAAGATCCCCTGGAGGAGGAAATGGCAATCCACTCCAGTATTCTTGCCTAGAAAATTCCGTGGACAGAGGAGCCTGGTGGGCTACAGTCCATGGGGTCGCAAAGAGTCAGACACAACTAAGTGACTTAGCAGATTACTGTTATGTAACAACCTTGCCTATCTCTATGCTTTGTTTATCTAAACAGAACTTCAGCTTTGTTCACTTTTGCACAGTCAGCCCTTCCATCCAGTATCTGGTAAGAAATTCTTATTGCGATCTTTTGTCTTTTAGGAGAAATTTCTGGATGCTAGGTGTCTGAAATCAAGGTAGCACCAGGGCTGCGCTGCTTCCCAAGGCTTTAAGAAAGACTCTGTTCGTCTCCTTGAGTTCTGATGGCTCCAGGCGTTCCCTTGGCATGTGGCCGCATGACTCCAGTCTCTGTCTGTCTTCACATGGGCTTCTCCTCTGCGTCCCATCTCCTCCTTATAAGGTCTCTTGTCACTGGATTACCCCTGGGTAATCCAGAATGATCTTATCTCAAGATCCTTAACTTAATTACATCTGCAAAGACCTCCCCCCACCCCCTTCCCCCCCAGTAAGGTCACATTCACAGGTTCCAGAGATTTGAGTGTCACATTCAACCCACTGTAGAGTTCTGCCACCTTGCATGCTTCTGTGCTCTGGCTTTCGGTTCATGTAGCTTC